CTGCTGCTGCGGCTGCTGCTGCTGCTGCTGCAGGGCTTCTTTGTCCTGTGGAAGCAGCCTAATTGCTGTGAGTTCTGCCCAGTCTCTCCACCAGCGCTGCTGCTGCTGCTGCCTCTCCCTGCCTCCCCGTGGCCCCCGTGCTGGTGCTGGTGCTGCTGCTGCTGCTGCTGGCTGCAGCAGCAAACGGCTGCGCTGCACATCCACCTGCAGCACGCGGAAGATTTGCTGCTGCGATAGCTGCGGCACTCCCTGCTGCAGCAGCAGCAGCTGCGCCTGCAGCCATTTGCCCTCTAGAGCAGCAGAAAGGGCCCCTTCCCACTCGCAGAATTCTGCTGCTGCTGGCACCGTCTCTGCCGCTGCTGCTGCTGTTGCATCTCTTGCTGCTGCTGCTGCTCTTTGTTCTTTTCCTTCTGCTGCTGCTGCGGCTGCTGGCTTCGCTGCTGCTGCTGCTGCTGCTGCAGGAGCACACTCAAAGGCCTCCTTCCTGCTGGGGCGTGAGTGTTTCTGTTGCTGCCGGTGCTGCTGCTGTTGCTGCTGCCGCTCTTGCTGCTGCTGCTGCTTCTGCTGTTGCTGCTGCTGCTGTTGCTTCTGTTGCTGGAGGCGCTGCAGAGGCAAGGGAAGAGGTCCTGGCCCCAGGCGCTGCTGCTGTCTCTCGTTTTGCTGCCGCTGCTGCTGCTGCTTCTGCTGCTTCTGCTGCTGCGGCTGCCAGATGTTCCGCGTGAGCTGCTCCGTGTCGCTGCCGCTGCTGCTGCTGTCGCTGCTGCTGCTGCTGCTGCTGCTGCCTAAGATGACATGGCCAGGGCGCACCTGGCGACTCGTATTGCAGCTCTTCTTTTCTGCTGCTGCTGCTGCTGCTGCTGCTGGTTTGCTTCCCGCTGCAGGGGCCTTCGCTGGTCCCCGGAGAGGCTGAGGAGGGGCCTCTTCATCGCTGCTGCTGCTCTCATCGCTGCTGCTGCTCTCATCGCTGCTGCTGCTGCTGCTGCTGCTGCTAGCTGGCTGGGTAA